CTGCCTACATCCTCAGCATAAGCATGTCTTGCTTGCTTGCGTCCACAGCATAGGTGAGCCATTGCTGTTATACCCAGAATGATTCGAGCCTAACCCGAGAGCCATAGCTAATGTGATGAAAGTCTGGCATGGAGCTTCTCTCAACTCCCCATTCATTCCCTCTCATGCTCCACAGGTCGCAGTGGCAGGGCGGGGCGGCCAGGTGAGGCAGTGACGTTTTACACGGAGGAGGATGAGCCGAACTTGAGAGCCATAGCCAATGTGATGGTGCAGTCTGGCACCGAGGTGCCGGCTTGGATGAAAACTTTGCCTAAGAAGAGGCTTCGGAAGCACAGGGACGGAGAGAAGTCTGTTGCGTTGCCGCCCAAGAGAGCTCCGATTTCGACGCATCCGGCAGCGCAGGCTAAAGGGGTGAAGCGATGGAAGGTGGCATCAAATAAGAGTGATCAGTCGTAGAGAGTATTGAGTTTTAGCTTGTGGGGTCGGTTGCAAATGTTAGATGATCTTGGTGTAAGATCGCATTCGTGCTTGTGCTGCGGTGCGACGACATGCTAAAACCTGCAGGCCAAGAACAACCAAAATCTTGTCTCACCCCAACTAAGCTTCCCAATATTAATAATTCATTGTTGTGGGTTTTCCTTCAGTGGTCCAATCCGTTTATCGAAACATCAAAAGCGCATGTGAAGCAATCTGATCTCAACAGCAGACGAAAGCCGTTACCCTCAGGAAATGTGAGGTGAGGAGAGGAGGTGACCATTCGATGGATCCAGTAATAACTATTTCCACGTCATTGACTCAACGCTCAGATTGAGCCAGAGCTGAAAATGCTCTCCGTTCCGAAGCTCTTGGAGGCTGGTTCTTGGTCAGGGATGTGCCATGCTGGCTGTCTACTTTTTCTGTCAATTAGGCTCGGGTATTTGCTTTTGACGTGCCTTCACAACCTTTTCCTCGTGTGAGATATTTTCTTCACGTGGAGGAATGAGTGCATCCTTGCACTGTCAATAGGGCATGGCATGGCAAAACACACGGATTGTTTGGCATTCCGCGGTTCGGACAGCGGGATCTGTCCGTCCGTTCAACAAGAATGCCTGCGGCTGTCTGTATCATCATGTGCACCCTCGGCTTTGTGCGGAGGAGAATGGCAACAGCGGTGCATGAGAGGAGACAATCCAGCGTTGCGCGGCAGGATATCGGGCTGGGTAGAGCCAATCAACTTTGAGCGCTTCGTGGACAGCCAGATGCAGAAAAAGGAACGGACAAAGCACAACATGGATTCATGGCCGCACAGACAACCGGAGGTTGGATTCTCTTCAAAGAGAAAGATTCATGAGAACTAAAAAAGTACCTGAGCTGATGACGCTTTGCAGCGGAATTTTCTGGGTTCACTTCTGTGGCCTGTGCTGGTTTGGTTGGTGGAGAGGGTCAGCAAAACTTCGATGTTTGTCGCAGCCAAGTGGGTGGGTGGTCGAGTCGAGCACAAGGGCAGACGGGCAGATACGACATTCGGCGAAATATTGAGAGTTGTTCGTTCCGTTCTGGTTGCACTGTCAAGAAGCGGCGAGAGCCACGGAAAGGTGCAAATAAAAGGCGGTGGCAACGGAGCGCAAAAGGCAGGACACTGTGATTGGCTACGGTAGTCCCAAGTCGTCGACTCAAGCAGGCAGACTCAATCCACATGTCCAGACTAAAAATTTTAATCAAAGAATGCCAACATTCCTTCCTGCCCGTAGACTTCCTCCCAGCCTTTCCACCTCGAGAACTCCCTCCATCTCCCTCCAGTTTCTCTTCCTCGGAAACGATCATCCACCCAGCTCGTGACTGTTAAATCCTCAACGAAGTGATGCTAACTTAGTTTACACAACATCGAGTTTCACTCTCTTCATATCTGCTGCTGTTGGCAACTCTTCTCAGTTCATTTACTAGAGGCCTGCTTGGTGACACGTCGACGTACAGCAGGCGGTAATAGGCATGGCCAGGACCGCTGAACTCTATTTCCGAGTTGGGCGACGGGGGGTGTGGTTCGGGGAGGATATCGCGTGGTTTCGCGCGGAAGTGTTGTCAGAGTCGATACCCAGCGACGTGGGGTGAACGGGTCAACGATTGACGGCAGAGACGGTTGCTTTCATTTCCTTTTCTGGTGTGTGGAAAAATCGTGCGGTAGTGTGCGGAGCAAAGAGTGCAGCGATTTAACGTTGGAGAGTCGGGAATATTAGTTTCTTGAGTGAAGGTTCGTGAATCTCGAAGCGTGTGAGTGAGACCGTTCGAGACGCGGATTTAAAGATATGTTGTCTATTATCCGCTAAGGAGTTCAAGTTCCATTTTTCGGCTCGGCTCATTCGGCAGCAAACGGTTCACTTCTTCCTTGTTGGCGTCCGTTTTTTTCAAGCGCCTCAAGATTAGTTTCCGACTGTCTTATTCGGAAGCAAACGGTTCATTCCTTTCGTCGACGGGTTTTCCTGCTGATTTAGCACGAAGAGATTGAATTTAGTCGTTCGGATTTCTTACAGCAGCTGAGGCAAAAGAAATTCTGACTTGGGCAAATCCGTCTTGTAACTTTTCTTTCGCGAGTTTCGTCGAGATGGAGTTCGACGGCTCCGACATGATGGCTGGGTTCGGGGTTGGGCCAGGGATGGTCTCTGCGAGCAGGCGGCGGAACTGGGCCAATCAGGGATCATCCCTGGGAGGAATGAGGCAGTTCGAGGGTTTCCCAGCGCCGTGGGAAACGGGTCTTCTTGGAGGAACAAACATGGCCGCCGTTGCGGCTTCCGAAGCTGCGCTGGCGGCGAGCGCAGCGCTTTCCGGCTCTGCGCTAGCAGCGAGTCTTTCAGCTGCTGCGTTCTCGCCGGCGGGTATTGCTCCCGTTAACGTTAACGGCTCGATTCTAGCCGGTCACGGCGTTTCTGCCGGCCTGCCGGCTCGCTTATGTGTCGGTAGCTACGACGGAAGGACGCCGCAGATTCTGCCGCCAGTAGCGCCGGCCATACCGCCGCAATTGTTACTGCCCCATCAGCACATGCCCGTTATTTCCGGAATGACGCAGATGTTGTCCAGCAGCAGCGCAGCCGGCGCCGCGATTGCCGGAGCCTCATCCTCATCAGCTGCAGTGGCTGCCGCAGTGGCAGCCGCAGCCACAGCGGCAGCAGTGACGGCAGCAGCAGCAGCCACAGCAGCAGGAGGGGGAGGAGCTCGCGCCGTGCCGCACCTTCCGCCGCCGCCGCCACCGCCGTCGCCCGCGGCGCACACGCTGGCGCCGTTTCTGAGCAAGACGTACGAGCTGGTGGACGACGCGGCGACGGACGGCGTGGTGGCGTGGACGGGCAGCGGAGTGAGCTTCGTGGTGTGGCAACCCGCGGAGTTCGCGCGCGATCTTCTGCCGCTCTACTTCAAGCATAGCAACTTCTCCAGCTTCGTGCGCCAACTCAACACCTACGTGCGTGCGGGTGGGCACCGTCCCTCTGCAATGTCAACCGCCATGCCTCCCTGCCCTGCTTTTGCCCCGTGCGTCCCTGCTCTCCCGCGTTTCGCCCGCGTCCCATTTTTCCTCCGAGAGTCCCTCGGTGCTCAGGCTATCGTTGTCGTTTATCTTCGTCGGTTCCGTCGTTCACCGTTCGATTTGCGTCGCTCACAGTCGTAGCGCCTCATCAGACCCGCGCCACTCGTCGCGTTTGCGAAATTTCAAAAGTGATCGTGGCCGCGCACCGTGCGACGTTCGTCCCACAGTCGCCGTCGTCGCAATGCGAATGAACTCCCGAGGGAATCGTGTCGGCCGCACGAATCTCGCCCGCGCGTTGCAGATTCTCCGCGCCTCGAAAGTTGTCGCAGGCTTCCCGCCGCGGAACCGGCTAGAAATTCCGCGGCTTCCGCGCGGCGGCGGTTCCGCCAAAGCTCCCGCCAGTGGCAATCAACCGAGGCGCATTCACGCGCGTCGTGAGCCATGGCGCAATTTACTCTCTGCCGAAGCGCGCGTGAATTTGCTCAACCCCCCCCCCCTCCCCCCCTCCCCCCGATGGTAAATAATCTCGGAAATCTTCTCCCCCCAGCGCCCCTCCACTTCCGCCCCCTCCCTCTCTCCCCCCCCAACCCCCTCTCCTGTGAAGCGTTCTTAATGCTCCCTCTCCGCTCCGCGCGCTTCCCGCTTTCCCCCACCACAGGGCTTTCGCAAAGTGGATCCAGACCGGTGGGAGTTCGCTAATGAGTGCTTCGTTAGAGGCAAACCGCAGCTGCTACACTCGATACACCGCCGCAAGGCCTCCACTTTCGGTAGCGGTAACGGTACTGGGAATGGAAACGGTAACGGAAACGGAAATGGTAACGGAAACGGAAATGGTAGTGGAACGTTACCGGGTTCTGCTGCTGCCATTGCCGCTTCCCTTCACCAAGTTCCAGATCTACCTCCCCCAGTTGCCGCCGCCACCATTCTCCCGCACCTTGCTCCGCCCCCTCCACTCTCCTCCGCCTTTGCCGCTGCCTCTGCTGCTTCGCCCGCCGCCGCCGCCGCCGCTGCCGCCGCCGCTTCCGCTGCTGCTTCTGCCTCGTTCCTTGCGCGGCGGTACCAGCAACAGCAGCAACAACAACTGTTGGGTGACGTGGACATGTTGGGTGACGTCAGAAGAGGAGTGATTTCTTCCAGTGCAGTGTTTGACGAAAGCGCTGTAGTCAACGCGGTCAACGGAGTCAACGGGGTGAACGGGATCAACGTGATCAGCGGAGTCAACAGAGTCAACGGTATGAGGGCGCTGAATGGCATGTACGGAGCCCATCCCTCCATTGGGCTGAATGCAGCGAAGGCAGTAAGCAGTCAAGCCGTGGTGGGGGACATAGCTGCTACTGCTGTGTCTCCGTTGACTGGTTTGACTGGGTTGACCGGGTTGACTGGAGTCGCTGGGGTGACTGGGATGACTGGGTTGGCTGCTGCCGTGCCTGGTGGATTGGCTGCTACAGCCGGAATGACCGCGATGACTGGGATGGCTGCTACATCCAGAATGGCTGCTACAGCCGGAATGGCTGCAAGTGGGATGACTGGAATGGCCGCTACAGCTGGAGTGACTGGGATGGCTGGATTGACTGGCAACTTGACTGCTGGCATGGCCGCTACAGCCGGCATGGCCGCTACAGCCGGCATGGCCGCTACAGCCGGCGTAGCTGGCGGCATGGCCGGCAGCATGGCTCCGTACTGTGCGCCGAGTCGCATGCTCGACGCGGGCGCGCGGGGGCTGGGCGCATTCGGCCTGGCGGAAGAGCCAAGCCAACTCGGGGTGGGGGGGGACAGAGTCGCGCTGTTGGGCCGTTCTGCCGCGGGGGCGGGGGCGGGGGCGGGCGCGGGAGCGGGGGCGGTTGGGGCGGCGGGGAACAACACGGTGGAGCTGGGCGCGTTCGGGCTGTCGGAGGAGCTGAGCCAACTGCGCCGCGACCGCGGGGTGCTGATGCGCGAGCTGCTGCACTCGCGGCAGCAGGCGGCGGCGAGCGCGGAGAAGCTCGCGCTGCTGGAGGCGAACATGGCGGCGCAGGAGCAGCGCCAGGCGCACATGACGGCGTTTCTCGCGCACGCGCTCAACAACCCCGCGTTCCTCGCGGGGATCGCGCAGCTGCAGGGGCAGAACGCGCACGCGCTGCTCCGCGCCAGCCGCGACAGCAGCAGCAGCGGGAGCGGCAGCGCGGGGAACGGGGGACTCGGGGGACTCGGCGGAATCGGGGGGATCGGGGGGATTGGCGGGAAAAACGGGAGCGGGGGGGTCGGGGGAAGCGGCGGAAACGGTGCAGGCGCGGGGAAGGGGAGTCCGAAGAGGAGCAGTATCAGCCCGAGCGGGAGCAGCAGCAGCGGGCGGGGGAGTAGGAGTAGGAGCAGGAGCGGGCAGGATGTGAGTGTGAATGGGAGTAGCAGCCACGGGGGTTCTTGTATCGGTGCTGGGGTTGGAGGAGGAGAGCGAGGGAGTCCAGAGTGGTTGAGAGCGGTTACTGCTGGGATGGGCGCGGCTGGTCTCGGTGCCCCTGGTTTTGCCGCCGCTGCTGCTGCTGCTGCCGCCGCTGCTGCCGCTGCTACTGCTGGTGCTGGTGCTGCTGCTGGTGCTAATGCTAGCAATGGAGCGGTTGGGATGTATGTGGATGGGTGCACGGACCTGGGCAACACTCACAAGCGTGGTTTTGACAGCAGAAACACGGGTTTCCCTCAAAACGGCATGACAGCCGCCGCAGTCATGGGCATGGGCACGGATTTGGGCGGTGGGATTCGAGGCATGGGGGGTATGGGAGGGATGGAAGGGATGGGAGGGATGGGAGGGATGGGAGAGGTGGAAGAATTGGGGACAGTGAGAGGAATCGGGGGAGCGGGAAACAGTGCGGGTGCGGGTGCGGGTGCGGGTGCAGGTGCGGGTGCGGGTGGGGGTGCGGGTGCGGGTGCAAGGGTGAACCTATTCCCCCCGCATGGCAGCAAGGAGCAGGCAACAGAAACAGCGGCAGCAGCAGGAGGAGGAGGAGGAGGAGGAGGGGGAGGGGTGTATTTCGTGAGCGGGGCGGGCAACATGGGTATGCACTCGCAGATCTTTTTCAAGCGGCACAAGAACAGCAGCGGCACCAGCGCCGGTGCCAGCACAGGTGTTGCTGGTGCTGCTGCTGGTGCTGCCAGTGCTGGTGGTGGTGGTGGTGGGGAGGAGGGGACTGCGTTTTGCAGTGGCAGCAGCAGCATGGGCGCTGCGTCTGCTTTTGACCATGGCAGTGCGGAGCCTTCCAGGAGCTTTCTCCCTGGGCTTTCGGGCAACGACCTTCATCACCTCTTCCCACCCCCTGCTGCTTCTGGTAAAGCTGCAGCTGCAGCTGCTGCTGCTGGTGCTGCTGCATCCGCCTCTGCTGCCGCCGCTGAGAAGGCCGCTGCTAACAGCAACAAGTTGAGTACTCAGCAGCAGCAGGCACAGCAGCAGCAGGAGCAGGGCGAGAAGAATCACAATCCCGAGGTCGCTTATAACGAGTACGGGCTCAGCGAGCCGCTGACCAACCCGTTCGGCCGCCCGCCGCCGCCCGGATTCACCATGGAGCGGTTTGACGTGCTGGGCGGGCAGCTGGTGTCGTATCTGACCCCCAGGGGGGCTGCTGCCGCCAGTGCTGCCGTGGCTGCTGCTGCAGGCCCCCTCGGCGGAACCCTGGGGGGAACCCTTGGGGGATCCCTTGCAGGGGGGTTTTCAGGGCAGTTTGGGGGCCCCCTTACAAGGCAGCTTACAGGCTCCTCCCTTGGTGGGCCAAGTGCGGAGCAGCTTGCAGGGGCGTTTGCCGGGGCGTTTGGAGGGGTGGCAGGAGCAGAGGGAGTGTACGATAGCGTATTTGGTGAGGGTAATGGTGGGAGTCTGAACCTGGATGGCACTGGTGCGGGCCTGAGCGGTGGAGGTATTTGGGGGGGATTTGATGGGGCCCAGAGAATGGGTGGAGCAGAGAAGATGTATGAGCGGATGTTTGGGGGCGGTGCCGCTGGTGGTGGTGCTGCTGGTGGTGCAGCTGATATAATCACCAGAGGGGCGGCAGCAGCTACAGCAGCTGCCGCAGTGAGAAGGGAGCAGTTGCAGCAGCTGCAGCTGCAGCAGCAGAGGGAGGAGCAGCAGCAGCTGCAGCAGCTTCTGTTGCTGGAGCAGCAGGAGGAGCAGCTTTTGCTGTTGGAACAGGAAAGGCTTGGGCTTGTGGTTCTTCCCGCCTCTGCAGCTGCATCAGCATTGGGAACAGCACGAACAGCAGCAGCAGCAGCAGCAGCAGCAGCAGCAACAGCAGCGGCAACAGCAGCACAATCGGCTGCGGCAACAGCGGCAGCGACAGCAACAGCAACAGCGGCCGCAGCAAGCATGGGTGTTGGGCTGAAAGAGAGGCTGCTGGGTGCGGGGAATGGTGGGGGGTGGGGAGGAGAAACAGCAGCAGCGACAGCAGCAGCGACAGTGGCGGCAACAATGGCAGCAGCGAGAGCAGCAGTGGCTGGAGAGATGAGAGCAGAGGAGATGCGAGCAGTCGCAGCAATGCGGGCAGCAGCTGCAGCGTCTGGTGTCGTCACCAGTGCAACAAGAGCAGCAGCAGAATCTGCAGCAGCCAGAGCAGCAGTGGTTCCAGCTGTAGCGACTGCAGCAGCACTGGCGCATTTGAGGGCAGCAGAAATGACTTCGTTGGAGATGAGAGCAGCACAGCTAAGAGCAGCGGAGTTAAGAGCTGCAGATTCAAGAGCAGCAGAGTCAAGAGCACCAGAGATAAGAGCAGCCGAGCTAAGAGCAGTGGCAGCGGCAGCTGCTGCTGCTGCTGCTGCTGCTGCTGCTTCTGCTGGCGCCTCAGCTCTTCCCGTCCTTGCAGGACCCAGTGCAGCATCAAGCGTCCCTGCCCTAGCTACATCACTAGCAGCATCACTGGCAGCGTCAAACGCGGCAGCTGCTTCAGCAGCAGCGGTGGGGACGGGCATGGGCACGAGTATGGGCGCAGCAGCAGCGTTGGCAGGAGGTTTCCTTGCAGGAACAGCTGCCCTGGGATTGACAGGAGGAGGCTCGGCAGTAGGAGGTTTGGCAGTAGGAACGTCAGGCCTGTCAGGCTTGTCTAGCGGATTATCTGCAGTGCGGAGTCTGGGTGCGTCTGTAACTCCCTCCCTGCTATCACCCCCTGGGTTACCACCACTCGTGCCTCCCGTGCTGCCATCAACAGCAGCGGCAGCAGCAGCAGCAGCAGGTTCTATGTCCGCTGCTGCTGCTCTGTCCACTGCTGCTCGCAAATCAGATCTGGCACGTGCAGCAGCAGCAGCTGCAGCTGCGTTTTCCTCCCCGCTAATGGGCACAGGAGCCGCACTCACTGCCGCTGCTTCTGCCGCTTCCTCTGCCGCTGATTCTGCCGCTTCCTCTGCCGCTGCTTCTGCTGTTTTGGAGGCGCCTGTAGTGGGATCGTCCGGAGCTGCATTCACTGCAACGGCTGCTGCTGCAGCACTGGCGTCAGCTGGAGTTCCCACCTGCCACATTCCCCTCCCCCTCCCAGTGCCCCTACCCCTGCCAATCGCACGCCCGCTCGCCTCCCTTTTGTCTCCCCTCTCCAACTCCTTCCCTCTTTTCGACTCCTCCCCTCTCTCGCGCTCCTCCCCTCTCTCAACCTCTTTCCCTCTCTCTCACTCCACCCCGCTCTCTCGCTCCTCTCCTCTCTCAGACTCTCACTCTGCCCCCATCTCACTGTCAGCTTCAGCGGCAGCAGTGGCAACAGTAGCAGCAGCGGCAGCAGCAGCAGCATCAGCGGGAGTAACATCAGCCTCTGGGGGAAAACCGAGCCTTACCTCCTCCTTAGCGCCAAATCTCCCCGCCTCCTCCCCGATCAATCCTATCAGCCCCATCCGCCATATAAGCCGCCCCATAGGGCCTCCTATAGGTCCCCTCACGGGACTCATCCGCCCTATAAGCCTTCTCGGTTCCACAGACCAAAATTCGCTACTAACATCTCTTCCACCCCACTCTGTGCCTCCGTCTCTGCACCTTTCATCTGCTTCCCTTCTTTCCTCCTCTCTCCTCGCCTCCTCCCACCTCTCCTCTTCCCAACTCTCCTCCTCCCACCTCGCCTCCTCCCACCTCTCCGCCTCTTTCCTATCCTCCGCGGCCCTCTCTCTCTCCCCAGCAGAGCTCTTTGCTGCCGAGGCAGCTCACTACACGGCCACTGCCATGCCTCCTCCCTCTAGCCCCGCTCCCTCTAGCCCCGCTCCCTCTAGCCCCGCTCCCTCTATCCCCGCTCCCTCTATCCCCGCTCGCCTATCTGCCGTGAATGTTAACCAGCGTCCTGCTCTCGCACCCTTGACCTCCACCCTCGCACCTCCCCACCCGTGCCCTCGTAGTCCGCCTCCTCTTGCTGGGGCTTTGCTACCTGGCATTGCTCCCCCTCTTCCTCCCACTGTACCTCCCACTATTGCTCCCGGCCTTACTGCTTCAACCCTCACTGCTTCAACCCTCACTGCTTCAACCCTCACTGCTTCAACCCTCACTGCTTCGAGCCTCGCTGCCTCGACCCTAGTCCCTGTGCTACCTGCAACACCGATCCCTTTGCTGTCACTCCCTGCAACCACGTCGGCTACAGCCTCTCCAGCCGCTACAGCTGCCACTGCCCAATCGTTTGATGACGCTGCTATAGCAGGTAGAGCCGCTACAGCTTCCGCCCTGGCTGCTACAGCTGCGAGCATGGGGATGAGTCACAGTGCGTCTGCGGTGTTCAGAGGAGAGGGGGAGGCTGATGATGAGGCGTTTTGGCAGCAGCTGCTGAGTGAAGGGGGTCAATAGGTTCGGAGTGGGAAGAGCAGTGAGAACGGTGGGGAGGAGCGGAGGGGAGGGGCCCGGGAAGGGGGGTGGTTAAGGGGAGTGGAGAGGGGAGGAGGACAGGAGAAGAGAAGGCGATTAGGGAAGGAGGGGCCGTGTAATTTGTCTGCCATGTCTCATTCGTTTGTTTTTAGTTTATAGATTTTCTTGCCACTGCCCCTCCCTCCCTAAATGCATTTGTAGTCCTTCTATACTGTATGTGTGCCCCCCTGTGTGCTTATGAATCTTGGGTGTAGATTATGCATGTTTTGTGTGATTTGCAGCTCGGCTTCCTCTCTGCTTCAGGATGCCTAGATAGTTCACACTCACTTCTTGGTAGCCCAATTTTTGTAACGATTATCCATATTACAAAACGGTAAATGGTCTTTATCCATAAACGGTCTTTACTTCCTATTGCTGGTCTAGCATACAAATGGCATTGCTGGGATATTTGATAAGGTAAATGGTGCTTATTCAGCAGCACAAACACAAGGTGTTTTAGCAGCAAAGCCCTGAGAAGGGGCAAGAACGGACAAGCTATCTACTAATAGGCAGGGCACCAACGGACATACCACTCATTGATTTATGTGCGCTGCTTTATTTTCTCGTTATTTCTCACAACCTCTATTGGACGGCGACTGATGCAGCCCCCTCTTCCAATCCATCAGACCCTTCCTGCAAAATCTCTTCCGCCGTGGGCCCATCTTCCAGAGCCCTCGTGGTGGCACCGTCAGCATCAGCAGCACCCTCATTTTCTCCCTCGTTCTCGCTGGTAGGGTTGCTCTCGTTAGCTACACTCCCAGATTCGGAGTCTTCAGCGCCGGAACTCGAATCTGCACTTTGCTCCGCCTCCGTATCTGCTGCCCCCGTGGACTGAGACTGTGTTGTTCCAGCTTCCGCTGTCGCAGAAGTCTCCGTCTCAGGACTCTCCGTTTCGGAATTCCCCGTTTCAGGGCTCTCCGTTTCAGAGCCCTCTGCGGGAGCAATCACTGTTTCACCCTCTGCCGGGCTCTCGCTGCCGTCTGAGCTCACCGCGTCGCCTTCCGCTGCAGACTCCGCGTCCGCTGCTACAGCCGTCTCGGTGTCAGCGTCCGCGGCCGCGGCTACAGCTGCTGCCGCCTCAGCAGCAGCGGCGGCGGCTTCCTCCGCCGCGATGTCCTGCCCTTCCGCGCTTTCCTCCGACGCCTCCGACGCCTTATCCTCCGCCTTCTCCTCCTCCTTATCCTCCGCCTTATCCTCCGACGCCTCGTTTGCCGCCCCCTCTGGTGCCTCGTCCGCCTTCTCTTCCACCTTCTCTTCCGCGATTACTTCTTTCGCAAAAATCACAACCGTATTTTGCCCCGCTACAGCCACATTGTCGCGTTCCTCCACGTCGAGACCTACATCCACACCCTCTGTTACAGCCGTGGAAATATCATCTGCTACAGCCGAGGCATTCTCTTCCGCTGCAAGTTCCGACGAGTCTTCCCTGAAAGTCACGACGCTGTTTTGCCCCGCTACAACAACGTTCATGTTGTCTTCTCCCGTTTCCAAAACCCCGTCCTTGTTGGAAGGAAACGGTGGTGGGGCGGTGGTATGCCCCCAACCCACCGAGGGCACTTCGGTGCCTTCGATCCCTTTGACTAGGGATCGGTGGGGTGGCACCGATTGACTTCGGGAGACTCACCCTTCGGTGCCACGTGGCGGCACCACATTCCAACCTTCAAGTGCAAGGCGAATTCGGTGTGTTCGGTGTGAAATTCGGTGGTCGAATTTCACCCCAACCGAAATGTTACACGTGGCGCATTCGCGACGCGAGTGTAGCGATGTGATGTTACATGTGCGGTTCGATGTAATGCATTTGCTATAAATCGACCTGCCTTGTATGCATGCTTTATACTGAAATCCTGAATCTTCTTGTACATGGTCCATTCGAACCAAAATTCCAGAGAGGTCTATCCTTGCTTCTAAGAGCACTAGCAATCACGTGAAGGCCAATATCTCGGCGTATACTTGGGCGATTAACGTGTTTGACGGCTTGTTGGAAAGCCAAGACTGTGCTCTATCGTTTAGTGCAACTTAGAGTTCCTGCAAAGTAGAGGAGACGCCTCTACAACAGTGGTATCAGAGCTGGTCGGTAGAGTCTACGTGCGCGACTTGTAGCAAGCATGATGACGTCAAGCGAAACCTCCGGCACTTCCTTAGGTGGTGTCGTCTCGAATCCCGGCGAACCCTGGACAAACGCGACGGTGTTCGACACGTCGGCGGTTCCGATTTTCACGGGACAAAACTACTCCGCGTGGAAATTTAAGTTCCAAGTGCTCATGATGGAGCGGGGACTTTGGGGTCTCTTCGACGGAACGGAGAAAAAGCCGGTCAACGAGGACGAGATCGCGGCATGGAAGAAGAAGGACCAAAAGGCGTTCGCAACGTTGATTTCGCGCATCGGCATCAACCTCGTGAGTTCGGTGCGCACGTGCATCAAGCTCGAAGCTTCGGCGCGTGAAGCATGGAAGCGGCTCGAGACGATGCACGTGAACAAGACTCTCCACGGCAAGATCCTAGCCCGAAATGCGTTCTACACGGTGAAGTTGCGCGCGGGCGAATCGATGCACGAGTATGCGACTCGTGTGGAGGAACTCGGGGAAACGTTCATGGACCTCGGTGGAACGGTCACGGAGGAGGATTGGATTCTCACCTTGCTTTGCGGCCTTCCGGAAGAGTGGTCGACGGTGATTACGACACTCGATAGCGTGCAAAACACTTGGACGAAGGAAATGGTGGTCGGTCGGCTTCTCCATGAAGAATCGCGACGCCGACAATTCGCTAACGAGAGCGTGGAGACCGCCATGTTCTCCGGAGGGAGCTCCGGAAAGAAGTCCAAGTGGAGCAACGGTGAGGCAAAGAAGTCGTCCGGTGGAAACGGTCGCGGCAAGGGCAACGCATCGAACGGTTCGAGCAAGTGTCATTATTATCGCAAAGCGGGGCACTTTTGGCGTGAATGTCGGAAGCGGCCGAGCGATTGGATTCCATCGAAGGCGCGGAACCAAGAGGGCAACGCGCACACGGCATCCGGCGAGGCGGATGATTCAACGGAGTCGCTCGTTTTGTTGGCCGGTGACGGGATCAACACTTCAAACGACACGTGGTTCCTCGACACCGGTGCAACACAACACATGACGCACTCGGCGTCGCTCCTCAACAACGTCGGTGCTCCGGGAGACGTCAAGCGCGTCGTCTTCGGGAACGATAAATCGCTACCGGTGGTTGGAGTTGGGAGTACGCGTCTCATCGTCGATGGCGGGCCGGTGGACATCACGAACGTGCTTCACGTCCCGGGATTGAAGGTGAATCTACTCTCCGTCACTCCACTCGCAAAGAAAGACGTGAAGGTCACCATCGATGGCGCGAAGATGAACCTCTTTTGGAAGGGGAAGCAATTCGCGCAAGGCGTTCTCAACGGACAACTCTACCAACTCAAGACGCATCCGACAACGGCCTCATCCAACGTGGCGCAAGGCTCCAAGGCGAATCTCAAAATGTGGCATAATCGGCTTGCGCACGCCAACTACGACTCGGTCAAAGAGTTGGCCAACAAAGGACTTGCGAAGGGATTTGACGTGATCGCCGGCAACGACGAGAAGGGCGTGTGCGCGGCGTGTGTCGAAGGAAAAATGGCTCGCAAGCCATTTGGTAGCCGTACCTCACCCCTCGCAAAGGACCCGCTTGCGCTTGTTCACATGGACGTGTGTGGACCGATGCGGCATGCATCAAAGGGAGGAGCGCGGTTCCTCTTAGTGATGCTCGACGACGCGACGCGGATGAGTTGGACCCGACTCTTGAAGGCTAAGGGAGATGCGGCCAAGGCGATTCAAGAGTGGGCGCTCGACGTTTGCGACGACGGCAAGAAGCGGATCAAGTGCATTCGCACCGACGGTGGCGGCGAATTCGTGAGCAACGAGCTTGAAAAATGGATGAAAAGCAAGGGCATTAAGCACGACGTCACGACACCCTACACACCCCAACAAAATGGAGCGGTAGAGCGGCTCAATCGCACATTGATGGAGGCCGTTCGTTCACTTCTTCAACACTCCAAGCTTGGGAACGAGTGGTGGGGAGAGGCAAGTGCGCTAGCGGCATGGATTCGTAATCGTGTGCCAACAAAGGTGCTACCGGGAACGACTCCGTTCGAAGCATGGACCGGAACGAAGCCGAACCTATACCGCCTACGCACCTTTGGGTGCCTTTGCTACTACCATGTACCGGATCCACTTCGCCACAAGTTGCAACCGAAAGCTCGTGCGGCGATCTACTTGGGGATTGCGGCGAACGAGCGTGCATGGCGAGTGTGGGATTTGGATGAAAAACGCGTCGTCACGTCTCGGGATGTGATATTCGACGAAGACAAGTTCCCGACAAAGGAGAAACAAACGCCGCAACTCACCGTCGTCCTTCCCGCACGAGAGGAGGATGAAGCGGTGGAGGTTTCACCGCACGTGAAGAAGGGAGCCGAAAGTGGAGGGGGAGAGAACGAGGAGTGCGATGATGATGTCGAGGAGGTGCCACCAACCGAGGAGGCCACTTCCTCCGCACCTTCTTCCCTACCATTGGCGTTGACTCGCGGGCGTCGTACACCTCGCCCCAACACGAGGTTAACCGACTATGCTACGGTCGCCGTTGGGGAGTCGGATGAGGAGAGTGCGGCGATTTGCCTAGCGACCATCGGCGACGATAACCCACGCACTCACAAGGAGGCTTTGGCTTCCCCGGATGCACCGCTATGGAAGCAAGCGATGGAGAGGGAGTTAGCATCGATCAAGGAGAACGATGTTTTCGAGCTCGTCGATCCGCCGAAGGGTGCCTACTTGGTGGGATGCAAGTGGGTGCTTAGGAAGAAATTGGGAGCCGATGGAGGTGTCGAACGCTACAAGGCGCGGCTTGTGGCGCAAGGGTACGCTCAACGGGAGGGGGAGCACTATAGTGAGACCTTCGCTCCCGTTTCGAAGACCTCCACTCTTCGGGTGTTGCTCGCGCTAGCGGCATCTCTCAACCTCGAGGTGGAACAATTGGACGTTTGCACCGCCTTCCTCTACGGGCTTCTCATGGAAGAAGTCTACATGCGGCAACCCCCAGGGTACGATGACGGTAGCGGTCGGGTGTGGAAGCTCAAGCGTACCCTCTATGGCTTGAAGCAAAGCCCACGCGGATGGTACAAGCGCATCGACGACTTTCTTCTTCAACACGGCTTCGCGCGTAGCGTGTGTGATAGCGCTTTGTACGTGTTGAAGGAGGGGGAGAAGCAATTGGTGCTTTTGCTCTACGTCGATGACCTCCTTCTTTTCTCCGACTCCAAAGACCTCATTCGAGAGGTCAAGCAACGGCTAGGGGCGGAGTTTGCCATGAGGGACTTGGGACCGGTGACGTACTACCTCGGGATGCACGTCGACCGCGACCGCGCGAACGGGACCATTCACCTCCACCAAGAAAAATATGTGAAAGGGGTTGTGGAGCGCTTCGGCATGGGTAATAGCAACCCGGTGGGGACGCCACTAGACACGGGATTTTCTTGCCTCCCGGGAGAGGAAGAATCCGCCCTCGACGAAGCCGAAGGGAAGCGGTTTCATTCGCTAGTCGGCTCACTCATGTATGCCGCCGTTTCCACCCGTCCCGACCTCTCATACGCCGCCGGGGTACTTGGACGAGCCGTAAGCAACCCTCATACCGAGCATGTGCGTGCGGGAGGACGTGTTCTACGCTACCTCCAAGGCACACCCAACTTGGGAATCGTATATGAAGCCGGTCCAATCGTGCTTAAGGGCTACACCGACTCGGATTATGCCGGTGATCAAAGCAAGCGCAAGAGTACCGGCGGGTACGTCTTCACCTTGCTTGGGGGAGCCGTGAGTTGGCAAAGCAAGTTGCAACCAACCGTGGCTCTAAGCACAACGGAAGCGGAGTATATGGCACTCACTCAAGGAGCCATGGAGGCAATATGGCTACGGCGCCTTCTAGCGGAGCTTGGGCATCCTCAAGCCGACCCAACTCCTCTCTTTTGTGACAACCAAGCGGCCATAAACCTCACTCACAATGCCGTCCTTCACGGGCGTACCAAGCACATTGAGGTGAAGCATCACTTCATTCGTGAGGTGGTCGAGAGAGGTGAGGTCAAGGTCACATACATAAGCACCAAGGCGCAACCCGCGGATTTCCTCACTAAACCACTCCCTAAGGATTCATTCCGTGCATGCCGTGAGCGTATTGGTATGAACACCTAGTGGCTTGGGTGCAAGGGGGAGTGTTGGAAGGAAACGGTGGTGGGGCGGTGGTATGCCCCCAACCCACCGAGGGCACTTCGGTGCCTTCGATCCCTTTGACTAGGGATCGGTGGGGTGGCACCGATTGACTTCGGGAGACTCACCCTTCGGTGCCACGTGGCGGCACCACATTCCAACCTTCAAGTGCAAGGCGAATTCGGTGTGTTCGGTGTGAAATTCGGTGGTCGAATTTCACCCCAACCGAAATGTTACACGCGGCGCATTCGCGACGCGAGTGTAGCGATGTGATGTTACATGTGCGGTTCGATGTAATGCATTTGCTATAAATCGACCTGCCTTGTATGCATGCTTTATACTGAAATCCTGAATCTTCTTGTACATGGTCCATTCGAACCAAAATTCCAGAGAGGTCTATCCTTGCTTCTAAGAGCACTAGCAATCACGTGAACGCCAATATCTCGGCGTATACTTGGGCGATTAACGTGTTTGACGGCTTGTTGGAAAGCCAAGACTGTGCTCTATCGTTTAGTGCAACTTAGAGTTCCTGCAAAGTAGAGGAGACGCCTCTACAACAGTCCTCACTCCAACCTTCCGATTCGGGGCCATTTGAGAGACGAAGCGCCTCATCCGCCGCCTCTGCCGCCGCCGCCGCCGCGGCGCCGTCGCCGCTCGTGGCGCTCAAGTTGTTGTCGTCGTCGTCCCACGCCGAAAGAGCCGTTGAGACAGATTCGGGGACGCGGATTCCTGTGTCCGGTCGGAGTTCGTCCAAACCAAGCGGCTCGGCGGATTCTGAACGCGACGACTCTTGTTCCGGCGGGTCGTGCGGCGAGGTTACTGCCCGCCACGGGCGCGACGCGTGGGAAAAAAAAGGCGAGGAGAGAAGACAGAGCAAAAAAACCGCTTGAATTCTGACGTCCATGATAGTTAGCTGGGTCCACGCGTGGAGCGTTCTAAACGGTAGGCACAAGTCGTCGTTTCTAGTGGCTGGGAGCCCAATTCGTATGGCTCACGATTTCAAGCTGCCAAGATTCAAATCACCGAAGAGGTGGTGAACGAAAATACTTGGATGGAAGAGGCTGCTGAGTTGAAAACGTTGTTTTGGTTGGGTTTGCAAATTCGACCAAACTGTTGACCGAACCGCGCCAACTCTCCTATCCCTGGGTTTGTGCAATTCGACAGGTGGATTTGGTGGGTTTGTGTGGGGGCATGTGTTGCCGAATCGCGTGAGTGGCCCTGCTTCCTTTCCCCTCCCCACTCATCCATGCGATAGAAGAGAGCTACCCTTGCAAATGTGCGGTTCGGCGAGTGTGGGATGATGTGTGGGCCACTGCCGAATCGCAGGATCACAAGGACTAGTTGGAACATTGTGAAATTTCCTCCTTATAGAGCGCGAACAATTCTCACACCATGAAGCACATGCTTTTGTGAGGATGTGAATGGCATCTGAAGTTACAATTTTCTGACAGCAGCACTCATGTTGTCCTCATGCCATTTAGGGATGCCAAACTCTCCCCGTTTGCCAATAATCAACCATAAATAAGAAAATTCCGCATGAAAAACTAAGTGGTTGCCAATAATCAACCATAAAGAAGGGATGTCCACATCAAGAATAGGGTCCATAGAACAGATTCTACGCCTTGTGGATGTCTTGTTGTTCTAGCACAAAGAATCTTAGTAGAGAAGTACAATATCAAGCTTGATTTACAAATGGCACAAGGGCAGGTAAATGCTGCTTATTGGGCAAGCTGCCTCATTCGCAAAGAGGCAACCACCATGGGTCTCGAAAGCGAGATGCAGCAACCTGTGCGACCAACTCTAAAACCAGCTGTTCTGCCAGCCAGATCCTGCTCATAAATTAAATCCAGCCCACCATCCTCTAGCAGCCCTACGACTGTCGCAAGCCGACGGCTAGCCGGTTGGTTTCAATTGCTGCCCTCGCCGTTCACGAAAACCAGCATGCCTTCCCGACGAGCAGGCACGTGATATGCATAAATCTTGTTGTCTGAACCGGGAAGGGAGACGTGCGCTGTCGTCGTGGTCTCCTCCCGTGCGGCATCGCCAGTCCCAGCAGAGGCCGTGTTATCAGTGGGGTTGTTGACGACAGTCGCAGAAGATGCGACAGCGGACGCGGTGTTATCTGTGGGGTCGTCGATGATCACCGTCGTCGCAACAGACGCGGTGTTGTCGCTCAGATCTTCAACGATAACAGCAGCAGACGAAGATGCGCCGACAGAGGCGGTGTTATCCGTAGGGCCATCGAAGGTCACCGCTGTCGCAGCACTGAGGTCAGCAACAGCGGCAGCATCAGACGCGGATGTATCGGTAGGGTCGTCGATGACGGATACCAGAGATCCCTTTCTGCGCGGAAGGGCCAATGCGGCGATGACGTTGTCGGAACCTGGCAGGGAGACGGACGCCGTCAAGAATCCGACGGAATCGCTGTCCACGGCGTCAGATGGAATCATCCCAGGGTTAGCTGATGCCACGTTGTCGTTATCAGCGCCATTCGAGTCGATCTCGGTAGCTGGAAACAAGGGGAAGGAGCAAGCGATGTGAAAAAACCGTGAGAAATAGGCAGAGAATAGAAAGAAAAAGGAAAGCCATTCGCTATAAGAAAGTGATGTAAAGGACTCTCCTCTACTTTGCAGGAACTGGGAATTGTTCTAAACGATAGAGCTCTGTCTTAGCTTTCCAACGAGCCGTCAATTGCTTCGTTCGCCTGAGAAACGAGCGAGCTATAGCTGGAAACGTGAAGACTATGCTCTATGTTGAAGGATAGGAATCTCTCTGGATTTTGTGTTCGAATGCACTTCATACAAAGTGATTCAAAATGTTCAGTGTATCATGCAATACAAAAGCAAACACATTTATATGAACTGCAAAACGTCGAATCGCACATGTAACCTCGAACCGCGGTACACTCGAATGTTCGAGTAACATCGAAGGGGTGAAATTCGACTCTCGAATTTCACCGAATCGAATTCTCCCTGAGTCTCGATTCATCTTGTGTTGCCATGTGGCACCAATCGAGTGGGTCTTCCGAAGTCAACCCACACACTTCGTGAAACCTGCAGCTCTCTCAAGCGGTGAGCACCGAAACACATTCGGTGGGTTGGGGGCATATCAATTGCCCCACCACCGTTTGCTTCTAACTCACGCGACCTCCAACACTCCCCCTTGCACCCAACCCACTAGGTGTGCAATCCAACATGCTCGTAGCATGCACGGGACGGATCTTTAGGGGGTAGTTCCATGAGAGGGTCCATGTGTTCATCATCACCCATGGTTGCGAAGCAAAATGCCGCCCCCTCCTTATCCAACTTCCCAACGGCTACCGTAGCATAGTCGGCGTACTTGGAGGGAGGACGAACCTCACGACGCTCGCGGGTCAAGGCCAATGGTAGGGAGGAAGGTGTGGAGGTAGTTGCCGCCTCGGTAGGTGACACCTCCACGACATCATCAACGCTCTCCTCGTTGTTCTCTCCCCCTCCATCGGCTTCCTTCTCCACTTGAGGTGGAGTCTCACTCTCTTCAACCTCCTCTCGTGGCGGAAGGATGAAAGTGAGTTGTTGAGTGGGTTTCTCCTTCGACGGGAACTTGTCTTCCTCGAAGACCACGTCCCGAGACGTGACGACACGCTTTTCACCCAAGTCCCACACTCGCCATGCATGCTCGTTTGGCGCAACTCCCAAGAAGATCGCCGCACGAGCTTTCGGTTGCAACTTGTGGCGAAGAGGATCCGGTATATGGTAGTAGCAAAGGCACCCAAAGGTGCGTAGGCGGGATAGGTTCGGCTTCGTTCCGGTCCATGCTTCGAACGGATTCATTCCCGGTAGCACCTTTGTCGGCACACGATTACGAATCCATGCCGCTAGCGCACTCGCCTCTCCCCACCACTCGTTCCCAAGCTTGGAGTGTTGAAGTAGTGAACAAACGGCTTCCACCAACGTGCGATTAAGCCGCTCCGCCGCTCCATTTTGTTGGGGTGTGTAGGGTGTCGTGACGTCGTGCTTTATGCCCTTGCTCTTCATCCATTTCTCAAGCTCCGCGTTCACGAATTCGCCGCCACCGTCGGTGCGAATGCACTTGATCCGCTTCTTGCCGTCGTCGCAAACGTCGAGCGCCCACTCTTGAATCGCCTTGGCCGCATCTCCCTTAGCCTTCAAGAGTCGGGTCCAACTCATCCGCGTCGCGTCGTCGAGCATCACTAAGAGGAACCGCGCTCCTCCCTTTGATGCATGCCGCATCGGTCCACACACGTCCATGTGAACAAGCGCAAGCGGGTCCTTTGCGAGGGGTGAGGTACGGCTACCAAATGGCTTGCGAGCCATTTTTCCTTCGACAGACGCCGCGCACACGCCCTTCTCGTCGTTGCCGGCGATCACGTCAAATCCCTTCGCAAGTCCTTTGTTGGCCAACTCCTTGACCGAGTCGTAATTGGCGTGCGCAAGTCGATCATGCCACGCCTTAAGAGTTGCCTTGGAGCCTTGCGCCACGTTCGATGAAGCCACTCTTGGGTACGTCTTGAGTTGGTAGATATCTCCATTGAGAACCCCTTGCGCGAATTGCTCCCCCTTCCAAAAGAGGTTCATCTTCGCACCGTCGATGGTGGCGATCACGCCCTTCTTCGCCAGTTGCGGGAGTTTTGGGCGAAATCGAGCCAGCGGATCTGTCGTGGGTTGAGGTGGGGCTACGCGCGTAGGTACTGTAGTGATTTGTGGTCTATCCATACTGTCACGTCTGCGCCGGTCAAGTAACAGCGCCACACTTTGAACGCATGCACGATCGCGAGCATTTCGCGGTCGTGTATCGGGTAACGCTTCTCGGGCGGATGCAGTTTTCGTGACTCGTATGCGATGGGCCGTAAACCGTTGCCAAAATCCTGTAGCAGTACGGCTCTAATGGCGATGTTGCTTGCGTCTGTAACCACTTCGAATGGGCGGTGTGGGTCGGCGATGCGTAGTACGGGCGGTGAACAGAGAACATTTTTCAGGGCAGAGAAGGCAGCATGCTCCTTCTCCCCCCACGTAAAAGCGACCCCCTTCCGCAGTAAATCCATCAGCGTGGCAATTTACCGTGCCATGCCGGGGACGAACCGACGCACATAATTAACGAACCCTAAAAAACTATGCAGCTCCGTGATGTTCGTCGGGGGGTGCCACGCTTTTACTGTGTCCAGCTTCTTTGGGTCGATCTCAACTCCAGACTCCGAAATAACGTGCCCCAAACATTCTAACCTACCCTGGAAGAACTTGCACTTGGTGACAGAATGTTATAATGCTTACATTTGTGTAGGCTATAGTGGGGTAGCCCATAAGGGGTACAACCCAATTAGGGTTAATACTTGTACCCAACTGTTTCATAGTTCATTCATTCTCGTTCGTTATTCTGACACTTGGAACCCTTGGTCAGTACTCTGTGCTCGTCTAAAACTTTAAACACTGCTTCCATATCTACTAAGTGCTGCTGCTTATCACGATTGTAGACTAGGATGTCGTCGAGGTAAACTATCACGCATTTATCTAAGAGCGGCCTAAACGCCTCGTTCATGGTCATCTGAAATGTCGACGGTGTGTTGGTCAGCCTGAATGGCATCACAGTGTACTCAAATGACCCGTACCTAGTTCTAAGTGCCGTCTTGGCGCAGTCCGATGGTTCGACCCGAATCTGGTGGTAACCTCCCCGTAAATCTATTTTCGAAAAGACCCGTGCTGATCACAGTTGATCTATCAGATCGTCGGCGCGGGGAATAGGGTATCGCAACTTGAGTGTTACCCTGTTTTGTGCTCTGTAATCGATACACATACGAAACCCTCCGTCTTGTGAACAATATCGGTGCGGCGAACGGCGATGAACTCGGTCGGAGGAATTCCTTCTCTAACAGGTAGTCTAGCTGCTTCATCAGTTCATCAAGCTCAAGCTGTGTCAGTCAAAACTGTCGCTGTACAGTTGGCTGTGCCCCCAGATCTAATTCTATTCGGTGATCATGTGCCCGCTGAGGTAGCACTCCCTCTGGTAAATCGTTCGGAAAAATCCTCGGGTACCGTTTCAACAGTTCCTGTAGTTCGGGCGGTACGGCTGCCAGCAGTTTCTGAAAATCACTGGGCTGCTATGCTTCTCCTACCAATGCGATATCCACTGCGTACAAGTCAGCTCCAGCGGCAACAGCTCGTTTCATTGTGATGGCGTTGACGTGGACTGTTGAAGACTCAGGCGACTGCCAGCGAGGTAGCTCGACCCAGATACCGCTACTTCGCACAGTGCACCTACCCGTCGTCCAGTCAAATTCGCGGATTGTAGCGTCACAGCCAATCACGTCCCAGTAAAATGTCGTGCCCATCCAGTGTTGTCGCGAGCATTTCCTGTGTAAACCCGAAGTTCCCCCCGCAGCGGACTTTTACTCTCTCCACCTTCTCCCGTATGGCCAGCAGCGTGCCGTCGACTAAGCGTGCATCTACCTCCGGTAAACACCGACTAAGTGTCAGTTGCAGCTTCCGTGCGGTTGAAGGTGTAACCCTGTGACGACCGCTGCGTAGCCAAGTCGTCAACCCAGGAAGCGTCAGCGTGACCAGTGAGGACAACTCGAGCCCGTCCTCCAAGCACGAGCCCCATGCCCGACGTACTGCACAAGTAGCGCAACACCCTCTTCGCAGCATCCCAGTGCACCTTTCGGTGTCGACCGGGAGCCACGTAGCAAGCCAGAAGGCTGAGAGGGTATGCAAGGTCAGGTCGTGTGCAAGTCATCAGGTACATGAGGCAGCCCACAAGTTCTGGATACGGGCCACTCGGCTCTACGGACTCGTCCGAAGGTGGAGCTGAGAGCGAGTGACCGGTAGGCAGAGGAGTGGACTGTGGCGAGGAGTACGTGAAGCCGAAGCGCTGAAGGACCTGCTGCACCATGTGTGACTGAGTCAAGGTAATGGTGCGCTGTGCTCTGTCCCGGGTGATCCGCAAGCCAAGATAGCTTGTCAGTTCACCCAGGTCTGTTCACCTATGGCGGGAGTCGTACTCGAGGCTGTGAAAACAATAGGAATGAATGATTGACTAGAAAATGAGTTGGGTACAAATATGAAACCCTAAGAAACTGTACCCCATAGTGTCTACCCCACTACAGCCTAAACAGGCTATGTGATTAATGTTCGACACACCCCCATAGGCAAAGTGGGAGAGAACAAGGGGTCACAAGACCAGTCAAGCAAAGCAAAAACAAAGCAAGCTCAGGGTGGATCACAATGTCACCACACATTCCGAGCACAGGTTCAAAGGCCACAAGGCCAGTTCACATGCAGGATTATATATAAAAGGTAAACAAGCAAGTGCAGGTATATATATATCACAGTACAGGTAAAGTCAAGAGGTAAGCAAGTGAGGCAAAGTAGGCACAAGACCTAGCATAGTACAGAAGCGCTGATGATCACAAGGCTGAAGTGCCTTGGTGAAGATATCAGCAGTGTTGGCCTGGGAGGCCACGTAAGCAAGACGCAGCTGACCACGCTGCTGCAGCTCACGAGCAAGGAAGTAGCGAAGAGCAATGTGCTTCGTTCTGTGCTCCAGTCTGTGCTCCCGACACAAGGCCAGCATGGCGTTGTTGTCTACGTACAGAACCGGAGGAGAACGATGCGGCTCACCGAGGTCAGTCAGCAGGTAGGTGAGCCAGCGTAACTCCTGTGCAGCCATGGCCCCTGCGTAGATCTCAGCCTCACAGCTGGAGCTGAGAACAGAAGACGAGCGAGTAGACTGCCACGAAACAGAGCCGGAACCAAGACTGAAGGTGTAACCCTGTGACGACTGCTGCGTAGCCAGGTCGTCAACCCAAGACGCGTCTGCGTGACCAGTGAGGACCACTGGACTCCGCCCTCCAAGCACTAGCCCCATGCCCGACGTACTGCACAAGTAGCGCAACACCCTCTTTGCTGCAGCCATGTGCTCTGGTCGGTGTCTCCCAGGAGCAACATAGCGTGCCAAGATGCTAAGAGGGTATGCCAGGTCAGGTCGAGTGCAGGTCATCAGGTACATGAGGCAGCCAACAAGCTCTGGGTACGGGCCACTCGGCTCTACGGACTCATCCGAAGGCAGAGCTGAGAGCGAGTGGCGAGTAGACAGAGGAGTGGCCTGAGGCGAGGAGTACGTGAAGTCGAAGCACTGAAGGACCTGCTGCACCATGTGTGACTGAGTCAGGGTAATGGTGCGCCGTGCTCTGTCCCGAGTGATCTGCAAGCCAA